GGCTAATCATGTTTTGGGTGTACTATTCCTTTAAGCTGAAAGAATAAACCAATTAGAAAAGGAATTATATCAAAACTGTAAAAAAAATTAAATAAAATTTTGCATTTAAGATAAAAAAAAAAGCTTTTTTTTTGTCTCTCAATTTGCTCTATAAAAACCTCCTAAAGTGGAAAAGTTTTAGTTTCACCTGGTTTAATTTTGCAAAACTTCTTCTTTGAGGAACCTCTTGCTATCAGATTATTCATCAATTAATGGAAAGTGTCATCAGCGTAAAACTGGTAAGAAATCTAAATATTTTGGAGGCAGAAATCCTGAATTCTCCCATGAAGGTTTGTAGCAGGAAGTCCTGATCCTGAAACCTGGATTATTCTCCACCTGCAGCTTTTTAGCCTCCTTACCTCCAGCAGCTTTTTAACGTCCCAAACGTCTTTGCCCTTCACCGGACTCCCCTCCATGTTGAAGTGTCTTTCCCCGGGACGAACCTCGGTGGGAAACTTCTGTATGATGATCTGACGGCAGAAACACGGCAGCCGAATATTTACACATCGGCTGATCGTCTTCGGTGCCACACCTGCTGGAGGTCTCCTCACCTGCTGGATCTGAACTCCGTAGCCTCTGAACTCGTCATCCCACGACGTGTTTCTGTAGATGTCATCCACGCGGTCGATGAGCTCGATCTGCAAACGGTCAGGGGGGAGAGGTCAGGTCGGCGAGGCTGCGGGAGCGAAACGGCTGCATGAGAGCGTGAGCTGACCAGGTAGTTGATGGTGGTGCTCTCCTCCCCGCGGCCCATGTGTTTGTAGAAGCGATGGTCGGCGACCAGCAGCATGGGACACGTGTTCTTCCTGTGGTCGTGTATCTCGCGTTTCCCTCTGAACGACGACTCTGAGCGGACAGGAAGTTCAATTCTATTCAGTTTATTTCTATAGCGCCAATTCACAGCACGTCATCTCAAGGACCTTTCCAGTTCAACCAGATCATCCAGTAGATTCAAGTTTTCTATCTAAGGAAAACCAGCTGATTGCATCGACTCATTGATTCTTCAGCAATCCCTCACACTAAGCATGCTTGTACCGACAGTGGAGAGGAAAAACTCCCTTTGAACAGGAAGAAACCCCCAGCAGAACCAGGCTCAGTTAGGGGTGAAGAAAAAAATCGATTTGAGCTCAAATCTCGTTTCTAACATTTAAAGATTCAGAATCGATTCTCATTTTCTTTAAAAACGATTTTTTTTTTCTGGGTGCGGATGTTCCTTATCAGGCACCGTAGTGTTTGGCGAAACCAATGAGCAGCGTGAGCTATGCACAGGCATGCAAGCGTTAGCCTAGCAGGCTAGTGGTGTGTCATGTTGTGTGAGCTACTGTGTTTGTTGCCGTATGGAGGACGAAGAAAAAGAAATTCAACCGCCTCCGCGGTCTTTAAAAGCAACCATTTGGAAATACTTTGGAATTTACCGGGTAAGAAAGGGCTTGCCATGACTCATGCGATTGGAGATAGCAAAGGTAAAGTTAAGTATTTCTGGAGTACTTCAAATCCCTGTTCTCATCTCAAGACATTACCCAGAGTTGTTGGTAGAATTGGATTTACCTTTCGGTGTTTACATTATTGCAATAGATAAATAAAACATTTACAATTATAAAGTCTTTATAAATGTACTCCTCTTTCATGCCAACAGACTGGAATAGATCCTGAGAATCGTTTTGAATCGTAAATTAATCGTTTTCTGAATCGAATCGTTTGGATTTAAAAGAACCGATTCTAAATCGAATCGTGGGAATCCCAAAGATTCGCATCCCTAGGCTGAGTGTGAGCGGCCATCTGCTAAACACCAACAAGAAAACGGCACAATTGCCAAGTTAATGGCATTTGTGCAGATGGTGAGTTGATAACAACAAAATAAACTCATTTTACCACAGGTTTAATTTAATTTCTACAACTTAAACTACGACATTTTTGGCAAAATGTAGAAGATGACTCGAAAAAGGAGGAGAGTAAAAAAAGAAAGGGGTCCAACAACACAGCCCTGCGGTACTCCTTAACAGATTGGGCTTGTAGAGGAGTTGTTGAGGATGTTTCAGCAGATTATTTTTTTTTTTTATTGTCATTAAACTCTCACTAGTAGAGGTGGAACGATTCACAAAATCCACGGTTCGGTTCGGTTCAAGGTTTCGTGGTCACGGTTTTCCGTTCAGTTCGGTATATGTTGATTGTTAGCCTGACATGTTGGTCGTGGTGCTGTTAGCATAAACAAAACGTGTTGCACACTGTTGCACTTTTATCCAAAACTTTCTTTCCGTCGCTTCTTCTTCTTCTTGTTTACTACTGGTGGTTGGCTTTGGTCGCAGTACCGCCACCTTCTGCTCTGGAGTGTAAACGCTTCGCCTATGAGAAAAAGGAGCAACCGAACGAAACACACGCGAACCGAGACAGTCGAACCGAACGGTTCGGACGGTTTTCAGAAACCGTTCCATCCCTAGTCACTAGTACATAAAATTCCTTCTGCATTAAACCAATCCCCTGGGGGAGCAATGGGCTGCCATTGTGCAGTGCCTGGAGAGCATTGTGGGGTTAAGGGTCTTTGCTCGGGGAGCCACAGTGGCAGTCTGTGGGAGTGCATGGAATGGATCTGCTGACTTTTACTTTGAAATCCAATGCAGTGCTAGCATTTTTATTACTGCTCAGCAAAAACATTTTCATCAGCAGAAAAGGTTGAAATGATAAAAAACTATGAAATCTTCTAAATTATTTCAGATACTTTGCTTAAGACTTGACAGTCTTTATCGTTCTGCCATCAGGTTTGCCATAAAAGCTTCTTTCAATACACACAACTGAAATGGTGACTGAAATGCTCTGCAAAATATTCCTAAACTGGATAAACGATTAGATCATCCTTGTTCACAGACACAACTGCTTCTCTACAGTCATTTTTGGGTTGTCTGTTGTGCTTTAAATTATATTTTATTAATTTATTACTAATGTATTGTATTTATTTGAGCCCTTCTTCCCTTTTCCTAAGTGATTATTCCACTCGTCAGGCCGCCATTGTAAATAAGAATTTGTTCTTTATGACTTGCCTGTAAAAATAAAGGTTTAATAATAACAAAAAAAGGATAAAATTCCAAACAATATAAAAAATTCTAAATAAATGAGCAGATTTAGATATTCCAGAGAATGTTTTCTTCTCCTGTCACCTTCCTCCTCCTCGTTGCTTTTCATCGCTGCTCTGACGCCTTCAGGCAGGAGGTGAGAGGACTCGGCCGCCACGTATCCGCAGACCGACGGCTGCCGCAGCCTGCTGATGTTCCTGATGTCCTCTGAGCGGTAGATCAGGAGGCGGCCATCGGGGGGCGCCGACGTGAACCTCCACAGAGGCTGAAGGAAGGAAGGAGGCGTTTCAAAGTGAGAAATCTGCTGTCTGGACAGCTTGGAGGTTAAAATGCGGCAGGAATTCACCTCGATGTTGTACTCGGCCTCATCGGTCAGGATGTGAGCTGAGAACTCCTGGTCGTCTATGTGAGCCTGAACACGAGAGTTTTCCTCCCCTGGAAGAGATGAAACAGACATAAAGGAAGCAGCTGCGCAGTTTCAAGCTTCTTATCAACTTCAGCACCAAGGCTGATCCAAACCTCCACCTCAAATATTCTACATTCTGCTTTCAGGGATGTCTGATCCGTCAAGGCTTCTCCAAACACAAGGACAAACAACCGCTCCACTGTTTGGATTATTGTCAAAGAATCAAATCAAAGAACTCGTCAGATCAGGAGGAGCTGAAACATCTCCGTCCATCTAATTAACCCGCCTCGTGCTCTTTGCTTCAGAAACATTTACTGAGATTCTGCACCAGCATATTGAAAAATAAAATGTGAAATTTGTTAATAAGGGAAAACTACGGAAGAGGATTAGGGCCACTGAAGAAAAAAAAGTTAACTGATTTTTAAATTTTATTTCAG